AAAGGATGTATCAAGATGATAAAATTATTTTTAAATTTCTTGCTGTTTTAACATATTCCACAGGGTGTCTCAAACTTTCACCAAAATATCAACATTTTAATTTCCCTAGTATAATTAACAGATGGGGAGTTTCATTTTTAATTTAGAAAAAGATACTAAAAAGTCAAATAATTTTGCTACACACTGCTTAAAAAATCATCAAAATCGGCCCATTAAAACAAAATATATTAACCTTTAAAATACATCAAAGTTTTAATGTGTCCATCTTTCGTGCCGGTGAAAGTATTTCAAAAACTATACATTTAAGTCATATACTTTTCTAATGAAACAAACCTTTATTTTTTTACTAGAATCCAAAAGTCAATTAATATATAGGGTGTTCAATTACAAAAAAACATATCTTTGATGTCTAACTTTTTTTATGGACACTCTGGAGAACTATACATAATTTTAGAAAATGCTTTAAATTGACTTACATAAGCTCACAACATTTCACTTCAATACAAACTTTTGTTCTCCTTGCAAAAACCGCGTCGTATATGACGCGTTACCCTGTATAATTGTATAATTTTATTTCAATCAAAATTTCAATGATTAGAATATAAGCAGAATAGGTATAGCTTATGCATTAGACTTATTTAAGTATTTCAGTAAATTTACTAGCAAAAGAAATAAAAAAATCAAAAAATTAAAAAGAAAATAATTAAGAATTTACTAAAATTACTGAAATAAAAAATTAAAAGCAACGATAAAAAGGGGTAAACATTTTAGTATTTTATCTATAAAACACAATACAGAAGGTTTCACATTCATACATTCACAGTAATTGAATTCCGAGGTAAAAATCTTTGGGCACTCCACTATAATAAAAACAATGATTATAGCCGTTTTTTGTATTTGATAATGGAACATAAATAGTAATGACAATATAGTGAAGAAAATCATTAGAAAAATAATGAATAAACATAAAAAGCAACAGTCCCTCAACTAAAGCAAAACAAATTAAATAAACTAATATAAGGCGACATCTCCATAACGAGAACCCCCATCTAACGACGGATTAAGTATAACGAGGTGTCCCATGTTTCATAACACGCTCAAATCTCATATGAGTGCCCCATTTGTCAACGCGTAAATATATTCTTCTTGCCGTAAACGGCATAGGGTTGCAGAAAATAAATTTGCCCTCAGCAAATAATATTTCCAAAACCTTTTTAGGGCAGGAGTCATATTTGCGGGAGGAAATTTCGGCCGTGGGTTATAAATAGCGAACGACATAAAATAAGTTGGACAGTCTTGCCAAGTAGAGCGAAAACTTTTTCAATTAGACAGTTTTGCAGTTTTTCGCAAAAACGGTAGGTAGTTTTTTATGATGGTAGTCTAGAAAGCATTTTTACTTTATTATTTGTAAGTGCTTAAAAGTTTATTAATGCTTTGGAAGCTTAAAAAAATGATTTATGAGCTAATCAAAATTTTCACGGAATTTTAAATTGTCTTTATTTTCGAGAAAATTTAGTCCAAACATAAGGAATATTTTGTTCGTGTTTGACCATCAAAATCTTAAAAATAAAGAAGTTGTCTGAAAATGTACTACAGTACAGAAATAGTATAATCCTTTATCTTTAATTTCCTTCTTCATTTGTGGTAAAAATACCTAGCCAGTTTTACATAAAACGTTAAATGGACTCTTAAAGCCAAGGTATATCGCGCACTCGGCACCGAACAAATACATTAAGAATCGCAATTTGTCGATTCTTCGGGACGCGATGTCTCGATCTTGTCATTAAGAATCCCACTGCTGATCACTTTACGTGATCCTACGATATCATTAAAATTTGGTTATTGTTTTCAGAGATAGTAATAAATAAATACAAATTACGTATTTTTCAAAGTTTGTTAAAATCTTGAAAATACAAGAAGTGTCCTGAAATCGAAGCTAGAAAAGGTATTTACTATTATTGGTCTGTACAGGGTGTCCCATTGGGACATGGGAAATGATACGGTATCTCCGTAATTAGTAAAGATAGGAGGATGCGGTTTGCACAAACCTGTCCCACTTTTTTGTCAAACGGTAGATGCTGCAAACAAATTTTTCATAGCCCTCTGCCGTTTCTGAGCTATAGGGTCTTTTCAAAAATTTTGCAATTTGGGACCCCCTGTATCTCTGTCATTGTTAGAGGTATCGAGAAGGTGAAAACTGTTTATTGTAGAACTTTTTATGTAAAATTCTGTGGCGTAGTCTAGTTTTCTACGAAAAAAAGATTTTTGAAAATATAAACTAAAGTTATGTTTTTTCAAATGGAATACCCTATAAATTTATAAATAATATGATCTGTCTTGCTATGAGCTTCTTAAAAATATATATCACTCTATATTTATTTTCACTACTTAATGCAACATTTAAGATATATTATTTTCTTATTAGTAGGCCGTGATAAATAACAAAAAAAAAATTGTATTTACTAAAATCGTTATACACATATTCAGAATGTTATTTAGGATTGATATATTTTATTTTTGAACTGTTACCACTGAATCTGTAAATATGTTTTTTCTTTTTTTTATAACGAAATTTATTATAACGGGATGGGTTTACAAATATCTAAGAGCTTGCATTATTAAAGAATTTTTCAGATGTTCGACATTGTTGCAGTTGCCAGGATATATTTCATATTTCAAAAGTCCATAAAATCAAAAATCGAGAACGAACAAATCCAGGAATTAGGGAGGCCATCATATGGATTCATTGGTTCCAATTCATTAATTTGAGAAATAATAATTTAGCAAAATTCTAATATTTTCAAAGTTGTGAGCTGGAACCTCATCTTGCTGAAAGTATATTTCACGTAAATTAGCTAAAGGAATATTTAGAATTTCCTGTGCGATAGCTTAAGAAGATTTACAAATAGCGGTAGAGAATTAAATTTTCCTAATCTATAAAGAATTTATTAGTGACTCCCAAAATAAAACAAGAGACAGATAGCAGTTTATATATAATAATTCTTTAGTTTCTTTTATTATCAATCATGGCTTATACTAATAAATATATTTTAATAAAAGCTTTCAAATATTGCAGTAAATAGTATATACAAATATAGAGTGATATATATATATATATATATATATATATATATATATATATATATATATATATATATATATATATATATATATATATATATATTTTTTATATATATATATATATATATATATATATATAAATATACAGGATGTTCTATTTGAAAAACATAACTTTTAGTTCATATTTTCAAAATATATATATATTCGTAGATATAAACTATATATTTTGTATATTTTTGAGAAGCTCATAGTAAGACAGATCATATATATTATTTATAAATATACAGGATGTTCTATTTGAAAAAAAACATAACTTTAGTTCATATTTTCAAAAATATTTTTTTTCGTAGAAAACCAAACTACGCCACTGTATTCTACGCAAAAAGTTTTACAATAAACAGTTTTCACCTTCACGATAGGTTTAACAATAACAGAGATACAGGGAATGTCCCAAATTGCAAAATTTTCACAAAGACCCTGTAGCTCGGAAACGAAGAGGGCTATGAAAATTTTGTTTACGGCAACTTTCGTTTGACAAAAAAGTGGGACAGGTTTGTGAACACCGCGCTCTTCTAAAAGGGTGCTTCTTTCTTCCTGTCTTAAATCATACAAAGTTTTCAAAATTCCATGCTAAATTTGGTTTGGTCATCAAAATATATGTTTTTTTTTTGTTTTTCAAACTGAACACCCTGTATATTATATTTTTGTTGGATGAAGAAATAAAAAATAAACATTCTTTGTATTTAAAATATTTTATAAATAAAACCAACTATAGTAAGTACCGTAAGAAGTTTTTTTTTTCAGAACACACCTCATATTTTTAACATTTCTTTTTTAAAGACTAAAGAATTTATTTAGTTATATCTCTGAAATTATCATAATTTATTTTCATCATCGAACAAATTTATTATCATCATTTTATTATCAAAAAATAAATAAAATAATATCTTATGACTATGTAAGGTGAACAGAAAGGAAGCCAAAAATTAAATAATATATAGAAATGATAAAATAAATAAATATATAAAAAAAATTTGCTAGTTTGGCCAACCTTTAGTATTTAAAATATTTTCGTAAAATAGGCCCCAGTACATACTTTATGAATATGTTGTAGTCTCATAGTGTATTCCGTCTTTTCACGAAGAGCCTAGTCAGTTAATGAAAAAACTAACCTAATAACATAACTAGCCTGCTAACGTAACCGACGCGCGACGCTTCATGAAGTGACTAGGATCTTTACAAAAAGACGGAATACACTATGTAACTACGACATATATACTTAAACAACATTTTTCAATTCTTTTTATGTGACCTTCAGATGCTCAACTTGCTGTTTCAGTAACCTGTATATACCAAGAGATACAAAATTCATTATATTTAAAAGCACGTGAATGCTCTTTAAACTATTTCAAAATTTTTGATGCAGGTTACTATGGTATACAGGGTGGTTGGAATTGTATTTAGGAAACTTCGGCAGCATATTCTACCGATGAAAATAGATACAAAAATATTCGTATAAATTTATATCCCAAAAATGCTTCGTTTTGGAGATACAGGCTGTAGAAGTTTCATTTTTGTTTCGTTTTATGTCAATATTTGGATAAAATATCTGGGTGTTTTCGACATAAGAAATATGATTTATGTCAATATTACTTCTAACTGTAGGGTGCGCTACCTACATAGTTGTTAACTGGTTTGAAAAGTAATAACTTTTTCTCTATACCTTTATAAAACTACTGAGTAAAAAAATATTTTTGAGGCCGTTTTTGAAGCAAAAAAGGTCTATTGTAGTGTAATTCGAACCACTCTGTATTTCAAGTGTATTTTGAGCAAATAATTAATCCCTCATATGGTTTTGTAACAACAAACTTTGTAACAACAAACTTTGTAAACAGACAGTGTTATATGTAGTTTCTTACCTTTAATGTTAGAATTTGTTCATTTCCGTTTGACATAATGACAGAGCCTGGTGGACCTCTTTCACCTTTTTCTCCTTTAGATCCTGGTGGTCCTACCGGACCCAGAGCACCGTCAACTCCTGAATCTCCTTTAGGTCCAGGAAATCCAGCTGGACCAGGTAAACCCGGCTCGCCATCTCGGCCTGGATCACCTGTAAAATAAGAAATTAAAAATAAATATAAATAATCATTCCTCAATATTAATTATCTTGTGATAGAAACAAAATAGTTAAAAACAAGCAATAAGATAAAATAATAATGTAATAATAATGAATAATTTTCAATAGTAGGCAATAATTGACAAAACCCTTCCCGTATTTTTTTTCTGTTTTTTTTTGTGAAAGTCAAATATTAAAGCGCTTTACAAAACATAGACACCCAAAATATTTTTTAAATTTTGATGCTCTCTAACGGACAAACGAAGCACTTGTGTATAGAGGTGAATTGTGTTTTAATACTAAGATTGTTATTAATCGTTACTGCCTTCTTCAAAATCGAATATATCCAATGAAAAGGAACGAAAATCCTTTACGATGAGGTAATGGAAATAAGGGTGCCTCAAGGAGTAAAAATAATCTGCTACGCAGATGATCTGGCTGTATTAACCACAGCTGGAACCTCCGAAGGAATGATACGCAAAACCGAAGAGGCTTTACACTATATATACTTGTGGATGAATCAAAACCAGTTGGAAGTTGCGCCAGAGAAAACAACTGCTATTCTTCTAAACCGAAAGACAAAGATAGGTGGTATACAATTTAAAGTCGGTGGGAAGTACGTTAAACCAACCTAATACAGCAAAATACCTCGGAATAACACTAGATAGAGGGCTAACTTACAGTCAACATGTAAAAGATGCTTGCGGAAAAGCCAACAGAACTGTCAAAGCTATATGTGGACTACTTCCGAACTTAAAAGGACCGTTCTCAAAAAAAAAAAGAAAAGTTCTTGCGGTATCAATGCAAAATATAATTCTATACGGCGCTTCTGTATGGGTCGAGGCACTAAAATTCCAACGGACGAAAAATATATTGCTTTCCACACAGAGAAAAATGACCCTCAGGATCTGTTCAGCGTATCGTACGATATCAACAGATGCCGTGTTGGTTATAGCTGGGCTGATCCCGCTGCATTTAGCAGCTGAGGAAAAGCGAGAGTTATGTGTCAAAGCAGAGATTAACGATGAGGTGAAAAACCATTAACGACGAGGTACCTATCAAAAATGGCAAGAGGACACATTGGGATACAGCCGACAAGGGAAGGTGGACTAGAAAGTTAATAAACAACGTGGAGGACTGGACAAGTAGGAAACACGGAGACGTGGACTATTACATTACGCAGTTTCTTTCCGGGCATGGAGTCTTCATGGACTTCTTGCACAGAATAAAGAAAATACCAAATGGCAACTGCATGTACTGCGACGAAATCGACGATGCCGAGCACACGTTGTTCTGTTGTCCGAGATGGGAAAACGAAAGGTCTGCCTTACTGTCGGATGTAGGAATGTTAACTTCGGACACCTTGATTATGAAAATGACCAAAACTAGCGAAATATGGGGAAAGGTAGGGGCATTTATGAAAGAAATAATAATAGAGAAAGGAAAAGATGAAAAAGCAAGAAATGTGGAAGGATCCTAAAAATAAATAGAATAGAATATAGATAAAAAATAACATAGATAAGATATAAACCCCAAGATCACGTACGAACCCGAAGTAATGCCATGCGGCGGTTCCGGGTAAGGGGGGAGGAGGAGCTGACTCCTCGGAGGTGGATTTCTTTAGTGGGTAACAATTCGACTCCCACACTGTTTGGAGTTCGTCTCTATTATCGTCTCTCTCGAGATGGTGTTGGGAACGAACACCACTCGCCTATAAAAGGTTTTTTACCACCCCCTCAAAAAAAAATTAAAAGGAAAGTATTGAAATGAATTAAATAAAAATATCAAAAAATTTTCCAGAAGTTTTCTAAATAATATAGTTTTTAATAAATAATAATTTGCTTTTCCGGTAATAATTTGCCTTGGTCCAAGCCTAATAGCAACCTTTGAAAACATTTAATATTATTAACTTGCGAAAGTTTTAAATACATACTCATTGATTCCTCATCAAAAAATATGAAAAAAAGTTCCTATAAGCACGAGTATGGAAATGCATAGTTTTAGAGCTACAAGTTGTTAAATTTTTTTAAAATTGAGTTTTTTGTAATTATTTTAAATACCATTATTTTTTTTATTTGAAATTGCTCTAAGTTGGACTAATGGTAATAATAACTTATAGTAATAATATTTAATAATCATTTAGGTAAAATATATAATTTATTATTTTTATTTTTATTTTATCAATTGTGATAAAATAAAATTGCTTTATCTCATCAAGGAGGCCGAATTCAACAAAATATCAAGAGATAACTTTTAATTGGCATTAAACGGCCTACACAATTTTAATAAAAAAAGAAAAATTCAGTAGCGCACATACTTTTTTTTAAAAAATATTCCAGTGACAACCTGTATGCATGTCCCTGATGAATTTATCGACATTTTTTTAGCATTAAAATATGTAGCATTTATAGTAACTTTTACCCTCAAAATTTCATTCGAATCACTGAAAGTACTTGGAAGAAAATTACAACAAATCAAAAAATTATTAAGATTTTAACACCCTGTATCTACGAAACAAAGCAGAATCGTTGATATAAAAAATAAACAATCTAACAAACTAAAATTGAAACTAGAAATAGAAGTTTACAAGTAAGGAAATATGGACAGTGGAAGAAATAATTACGACATTAAAAATTCTAACTGTTGTACACTTATTTAAAAAGCAGCATTTAATAACAATGCTGCTTTTGTGTTTATATCTTTACGATCTATATAAATTAAACCAATGCTATGTTGACAATATGTTTGAACATAACAAAGGCTGCTGTATGTATGTCACAAACTAATATTGACATGACAATGTGCGGTCCCACACATATTAGGTTTAATACCATCGGTGGACACCTACTGCAATTCAATTTAAGCTGTTTCCATTTGCGTTGTCAGCTGCGGCGACGGCTAGTAAAACAAAAACGCCCGCCTGCTTCGTATCAATCTTAATCAGTTTTGAGTAAATCAGACAAAGGCAACTCGCTACATTTTCTTTCACGTTCTATATCGGTGTAAAATGTTTTTGACGGCGCGTTTGGATCAGAAGACTGGCGGCTTTTTCTCAGCCCAGCTCGGCAAAATAAAACACGTTGACACGAGAGAAAGCTTTGGATTTTCCTTTTGAAATGTCAGGTCTGTGGCATTTTCAATAAAATCGCTGTAATCATTTTCGATGGGAAGTATTGTGCGGAACGCGCTAGTTTTACAACGATATCTCTTATTTGAAGTTTATAAAGCCGCTATTTATAGAAATAAAATCTTTGAAATACGAAGAAGTTTTACAAAATCGTAATATAAATATGAAGAGGTTTATTTATTAGAGGTTGAAAATAAAGTACTAGTTTAGTTTAAAAATATATGGGAATGAGTTCTTTAAAATGTTTAGTTTAGTAAAATTTAATTTTTCATAAATTTAAAACATCAAAGAGCTCTTTGTTAGCTAAAAATCGTAAGGTTTTTGAATTGGCTGGAGCTTTTTTAAAGCCCTTTTTATACGGTTACCTATAACCAAAAATATATACTCTATAAAACTTAAAAAGATAACTAAACAAATTATTTATTGCTGCCAAGAAAATTACACTTTTATATATATTATCAAAAGATCTCATATCAAAGAAAATTTCAATTCAATCTTTCTGCTAATTATTAATATATTGTGTAACTAAGCGAATGAAAAACATGAAATTGTATAATAATTTAATAAAACAACTTTATTAAATTTTATTTTTATTATAACTAACATTATTTTATTTAAGAATAATTACCAAGTTTATTTAGAAGAGAGTTTGTTCAGAAGCTTATTTAGAACTAATAATTACTGAATTATTGAACGACAAAGAACAATGAAGTTTATTCTGTTATTTACCAACAATATGAGACAAACAAATATAACCCAGAACTTCAACTAACTCGAAAAACATTTATTGAACGTTGTACAATAAACTTTGTAACAAAAGTTTTCCGATTATTACAAAACTTTTTCTTAAGGATCTCATTTAAGAAATGATAGACAAACTTTTTAACTCTTTAGCTTCCGCTTTATCATTACAGAAGAAAAAGTAAGTTTCTGTAACCTTCATCAGATATTGAGTAATTTTAAACATTACTATGATAATCCTATAACTTTTTTATATAATTGACTTAGTTTTTCTTTATAGTTCTGAATAGAAACTGTTTTTGACAATCAATATCTAATATATAAAATTCTCGTGTCACAGTTTTAGTTAACTTACTCCTCCGAAACGGCTTGATAGATTTTGAAGAAATTTTATGCGTATATTCAGTAGGTCTGAAAATAGGTTGTTATCTATTTTTTATACCCCTAAGTTATAAGGGTTAGGTGAATCACCCCAATTTTTTTTTATTTTTTAGACAACATTTTTATTTTTATTTTTTACAATGTGGCATTAAAAAATACCGTGTACCCGGTGGCGTAGAGGTACAGCTTTCATCTACCAATCTCAAGGTTGTGGGTTCGAATCCTACACCCGGCATTTTATCAGCCGACTATTTTTATTAAAATAAACTTAATAAAACTGCAACGTAGGTCGACTCAGCCTTAAATGAGTACTCGGGATTCACAGTCCTGAGGTAATAATAGGCGGTTGAAGCGTAGTGCTAGGCACATTACCTTACTTGTATACCGAACGGCTCTAGCATGGCAAGCTGTACCTTGCTACTCCCAAGGCGTTAAACGCTATATACTGGAGCTATTATTATTAACAAATACAACCCTAAATGTTCACCCTTCTACCACCAACCCCTATTTTTTAATAGCGATATTAGTAATTCAATAATTTTAAATCCCGTGAAAAAAAATTACTGTAGTCCTATAAAAATACTTATATGGACAAAACAACGTTTGCCGGGTCAGCTAGTTTATTACATAAAAAATATTATGAATTAGTGAAATTAAAAAAAAACTATGAAATGTTGTCTTCTATATTAGTAATTTCTAGAATAAACTTATTATTACAGTAAAAAAATAATTTAAATAGTTAAATACCTTTCGGTCCATGTTCTCCTGGTTCTCCTTTTATCCCTGGTGGTCCAGGCACAAAATCTGTTAATCCATCACTGGAAATTGATATTCCTGGTAAACCGGGAGGACCACTAACTCCAGGTTCGCCTTTTGAACCGTCTTTTCCAGGAGATCCTGGATTACCAGGAATACCATCCATGCCAGGAGTCCCATTTTCACCTAAAAAAGAAATAGTCATCCTGTACACACAAATTATAACCAGGAACATAAATATTGAAAAAAAAACTGAAGAGGATAAGCAGTTTGTAAAAAATAATTTATTTTTTAAAAAATAATTAATTTTTTACAAACTGCTGATTTATTACTAATTTAATTTTTTTCAAATATTTACTTTTTAGGAATCTTTTATGTCTTTTTATTACCTTTTGGACCTTGAGGACCTCTTTCGCCTGGTAGTCCTCTGTCACCACCTTCTCCTTTTTGTCCAGGATTACCCTTTGGGCCCACAGATCCTCTGTCGCCTTTAGGACCTGGATTTCCTGGTTTTCCAGTCTCGCCTTTGGCTCCAGGTATTCCAGGTCGTATCATAGATCCACCCATAACAGCTTCCTTTGATTATAGAAAAAATAAGTAAATAATAACTATATTTAAACTGCATTTTAACGCAGCAGTGTTTTCAAAATATAACAGTTTTTTGTAGATTTTCTTACACTGCAAGTGGCGAAATACCCATAGGATATTTTTGAAGAAATAACTATATTATTTTAATCTTATTAGATAATGTATTTATGAATAATTTCTCTCGCAGTTAGCCACACGCGGATACTAAGAGAAGCTGACAAAAAAACTGACATTCAGGTATAATTAAGTTATTTAGAAAAAGGTAAAAGTAGACTTTTTACCTAGTATACAGACTTGCATTTGAATGCTTTTCATTTTTTAATTTTTTCCGTTTATAAAGTGTCATAGATAAAGTTCCCATCATATGGAACTTTTTTATTTATTGGTTTAGGTGAAATTTTACTTTGGATATATTCACACATACATAAGTGTACCAATTTTCAGCCAACTAGATAAAAAATAAAATTTCGTAATTTTTAACCAATAGTGTTAGCCTATTCTCGTGGTAGAAGTCCAAACAATTGATTGTAGTCCGTTTGTTGGTCAAATATTTAACAAGTGGTTATATATTCAGTTAAATTTATTGAATTTGCTAACAGTTTTTAAAGAAACATAAATTTGGTTGTAAAATTTAGATAAAAAGTGATGCAAAGTATTAATAACTTCCCTATTTGTCGAGATAGCATCATGAAATACATATTTCCACATGCTGGAGACCTATTTAGACAATACTAAATGTCAAAATGTATTTCTCATGGCCTACTTATAGAACTGTTTGGTTACATTGCCCCTGCATGGTCTCTGATCAAATTAAAATATTAAACAAAAAAAAAATAGAAAGTATAACAAGAAATGGTTGAAATAACTTACTACTATAGCCTGATTTTTAAAGAAAATATAAAATTAACGTTGAGTAATTAGAGAGAAACTATATTTATTGAAAATATGTCGCCTTGATATATAAGAAAAATTATTTATGGTTTGCACCATGGAAGTCATTTTTTACAAGAAAAATTAACTTTTCATAAAAAAAAACTATTAATTTATGCTAGACATTTAAGTAAATATACAAGTATTATTACTAGATTAATATTTATATCACAAACGCGCCTATTAGTTATTTTTGCTTCTATCACGAGTATCGGCTGCTATTGCCAACATTTTCTGCGTCTAGATGGCTGAGAATTGGTATATTTTTTATGTAAAATTAAGACAAAAATTTTCAAATAAAGTTTTTCGAAATTCGGCCAGAAACCCCATTTTTAGGCAATTATTACTTTAAATGTCCAATTTAACACTTACCTTAATTAAAAAGGTAAGACTTTCTTATGTCAATTTAATCAAAAACAAAGCAAAAACTATCGCTGTCAAACTTCACTTAAATCAATAAATAAAAAACCACATGCTGCAGACTTTATCTGATATTGTATATCAATTTTGTTTTTATATACCGGGTGCCTCTCAAAAGTGGCTCACCCTTATAATTTTTATATTTTTTCAGATTACAGAACGAGATTTGGTATGTTAGTATATGACATAAATAAGGATTGATTGACGTTTTCGGTCACTTTCTGTTTCACCGGAAATGACTACAATAATTTTTGATTTTTAAATAGCACCCTCGGTATAAAATGGCACATCATAGGTCAACTTTTGACACTTTCGAATATGGTTTATTTGAAATTGCAACATGCGGTTCATAACGACAGTTTGACTGGAAATACCAAGTGTCTGGTATTTCGTTCCAATTGAAAAAATTGAGATATGATTAAAAATACGATTTGAGCATCTCTTAGCCGGCCAGGACAAGACATTAGAGATCTAATCTATTTTTCTAAGGCTCCTCGATTAAGAATTAGTGTTATTAACACAGCCATGACACTCTAGATTGACATTTAAAATACATTTTTTAAGCAAAAATGTCAAAAGTTGACATATGATATGTCATTCTATTGAGAGTCTCATTTTCTATCGAACAAAGTAAAACAATACCGAGGGTGCCATTTAAAAATCAAAAATTGTAGTCATTTCCTGTGAAACAGGAAGTGGGTGAAAAAAAATTGAATACGTCAATCAATCCTAATTTATATCACATATTAACATACCAAATCTCGTTTTTAATCTGCAAAAATAAAAAAATTATAGGGGTGAGCTACTTTTCAGTCGCACTCGGTATATGAAGTTTTTAGGTCAATAATAAAATAAATGAGATAAAGTGGTTAGAGAGATCAGCAGATATTTATCGATTTTAATTTTGGGAACGATCATTTTTTTATTCTTATGATAGTCTATTCAACATGAAAACCCGTAATGATTGTCTGTCTATGTTATTAATAAAATAATTGTTGATAGTAACAAGAATGAGGAAATCAAGCAAATAAGTAAGACTGGCTATATTTAACAAAATATCAGAGTAATTCATTTAAAAATAATTTAATTGTAGTAAATATTAGTTAACACAAGATAAATACAAAAACTATAGAGAATGCAAAAGCAGCGCAAATAAAAGTTCTAACTAGATTTAATTAACTTGAAAAATAATTAGTTTTAAAACATGATGTCTAAAATTTAATGAAATTACAAAGAGCTGACAAATTAGAAACTCCAAACAGAGACGAAAATAGAGCAATCGGTCATAGGATAACGCCTCTCGCACTGTCGGACGCTGTCAATGAAATTATCCCAATGTTGTCATTGTTAATTAGTAATCTCGCATTAGTGCTTTTCAAAATAATTACTCGGAATTAGTAAATAGATACTCGCATTAGGATGTTTTGCTATTAAAAGAGCCTCATAAACTATTTTAAAATTGAATGAAATAATAAATATTTAGAGAGAGAAATATAAAGGAATTGTTTTAGTTGAATAATTAAAATATTTTTAATTACACTAAACCTATGGTAAATCTTTTTTTTTATGTAAATCAAACTATAATATCTGATTTACCGAAAAATGTAACTGGTATGAAAATCACAAAAAGAATACAAACAAGACCTGTCACTGCCCTATTATTTTGATGTATTGATTATAAATAAACAGAGTTGGGCGTCGACGCGTCAACTTTTATTGTTGACTTCCGCGTGTCAACAATACATCGACTCTGAAGTATATATTGACAGTGTTAAGAGTATCACAAGAGCAGGTTAGGGTTCGTCATTAGAAGAGCATGATTTATTCCTCCTAAGTCATATTCCTCCACCACATGTACGCAGAGAGAATGCACTGATTAGAAAATACTCCAAAATTACAAACATGCCTCAAATGCCGATACACTTGGATGTCCATGACCTGGATAGGAAGAGGCTTCGTTCAAGACATCCGACATTAACAACAGCATTCAGTTTACATCGGGACAGTTTTCAATTGACGAATCATGGAGTAGAGAATGAGAATCGAAGTTGCCAAACACAAGGCTTTGACATGCACATGGGTAAAGACAGCTTCCCCAGAATGCGAGTGCAATGCCCCTTGAGATTCTATTCTGGCTTCGTTGATGATTTCCTGGAAGCTACCAGACAGTGAAGTCGAATACATCCGTAATTTAGATGTTTCTTTGTAATATTTGTTATATGTATATCTTTTTATTAGTGACTATTATTATTATCTACACACAAACTTATCTTCTTGCTTTTTATTTGACTCCGGTCTTATGTGTTTTGTTGTCATGTTGAGCCATACGATAGATTGATACATTTTCCTTCCCTTTGATCAGTTAATTATTACTCTTTTCTCCGAATATTTTTGGTTATTTAGTATGACTTAGGCTATCTTGTGAACGTCACAAATGGTGGTTGTTATTTTCTTTTCTTTGTTCAATTCACTATATAATTATGAGTTAATTTGAACTCATAATTGTTCATATTATCTCAAATTGAATGAACCTCAAAACATTGATTGAACTCAAAGCGTTGAAATTATCAGTAGTTCTAGCTAATGTTATTTTTTTCTTTCTAAAATAAACAAAAATATTTTTCAGGCATATTTTCAACATTTAAAAAGAAGTAAACAAGCTCTATTACTTGACTCGAGCGATTATTCGTAAACTGGGGATAGACACACTTCTTCGATACAGACTGTCATTCGAACATTCAAAAATGTGGGTGCACTTATACTTTATTTACTCTTCTTAGTGAGAATATTGACAGGAAACTTGATTCTGATATTTTCATTTCTGATTCAGTATTCAAGCAAGACAAGAAGTCACTCAGCAACATTTTTTTTACCAGGGGAAAAATCTTACATAAGACACCCAGTTATTTGTTGGCGTCAGCGGGTAGTCGGATTTCCTACCGACTAAGAAAACCGTCCCTCTTCCTTCCACGCTCTTCTCGCCGGGACCGCTGGCGCATTACTTCAGTGAGAAGGGTGCTTAGGCTACAACCAATTTGCTACATCAAGTGTGATTACCCTGCGTAACTTTCTGTTCTGAGGTACAGGTATTGCTGCTGTTTTAGCTATGTCGATTACTTTTGTTATAGCATCGAGCCCTGTGTGTGATTTTGTTATAGCTGTATGCCCTGTCGAAAACCATATTGTCGACCACAATAAGAAAAGCTATTCAGCACATAGATTAAAGATAAATTATATCTTATGCTTTCTAATAAATGCTTATTCTATGGTTTTAAGCTTCAATTATATAATGTTTTACATTAACTGTAGACATAACTCTTATACCAAATTATTAATTGCCTACATTGTCGACGTTGCCGACGTGACTTAGTAAGTCGACATCGACACGATAGCTCACGCGTCGACAATTAAATTGTCAAAGTCGCCCAACTCTGTAAATTATTAGATATAAATTATTAATAATTTAGGAATAATTAATTCGCCACGAAGCTGTAAGTATATAAAAGTTAGTCATATTTTTAGACATTCAATTTCCTCACCTAAAAAATTCTTCCAATCTATATTAACATTTTTGCATTTAACGAATTCAATATTTCATTAAATTGAATTCTAATTTAAAGTTTCAAAAAGGTGTACAAAATGTTCATCAAAATGGACGTTTTAGTAACTTCTTGGAGAATATTTGGATAAAGATGGGAATGGTAATATTTGTGTTATAAACACTAACTATTTGTTATAAGGGGAAATAAACAATAAGTTATATACAAGCAAAACACAAACGTGAAGGTATATCTAGCTTCTTATTTACTCTGTTCCCAACTTCAAAAGGGAACTCGCCATCAAGTTTTAGTTCAGACAACAACAAAAACATTTAAACTGTTGAGTAGGGTTGCCCTATATATAGGTATGTTGTCCTTTTCAGAACTTTACTTTTTGCCAGCTGAACGTTAAGTAGTGTTCGTTTATAAGCTCTAAACATGCAAAACATACAAATAGAAAACATACAAAAAATAACTTAGTAAAACCAAACTAAAATAAAATTATAAAAACAATATTTTACCTTAAAGCGATATTTTATTGTAATCAATAAACATCAAATATTCAATTAATATTAAACCAGAGTATTGAATAATTATAATTAATATTTTATTGACACCTTTTGTTAGTGGAAATTCACTGTAAACAATATTTACTGTAAAATGTTATTTTAATAATAACTTATTTGATTTTATATAAAATATATTCTTATAATTATTTAGAATAACACATCTTAAAAAAAATTATTGATGTTCTAACAGAATAGTACTGTTTAAACAATTTTGCAATATAACATCAAAGTAACAGCAGGAAAAATTGTAAACACAGTTAGTTGAAATACTTCTTTTTCCAGTACTACAATAATTATTATAAGATATTTGTTATATCATTGAGGAAAAACTTAGATATTTAACTTTTCTTAAACTAATAAAGAATACAGTTAGTCATAATACTTGCTAAAAAATCGGATTTTAAAGAAGTGTTCATTGTATTAAACTAAATTTTACAACTACAGTCAACACAAATCACAGTTAAACTTACCTTCACTCGTATTGGCTGTTAAATAAAAAAATAAGCATATATTAAAAATGTATATATTCGTATAATAGCAATATAAAAAATTAACATTTAGTTAAACAAATATCAGTTTTGGTTTTAATCTAGTATATATAATATATTTAATGGAATTTATAAATTATTAATTATTAAAACTTAAATTAACAAATTTTGTTTATATAAAATCCATATTTAATTCTTATCGTATATTGTACGTTAATGAGTAATTAAAGTTTGAAACAATTAGCACTTAAGATTGTTCTAACATTTTGATGTTAAGGATCTATTGCTAAATAAAATACAGGCAGTAAAGCCAAAGGGCGACAATAGTTCCTAAAGTTTTATAGGGTAGTAAACCAAACTTTACTACAAAGTGTAAACAGTGTAATAACTACAAGATGAAAGATTAGAAACTTACTTTATAGGTATAATATGCAAATATTCTGATGTATAAACAAATAATGTCATATAAATTTTAAAGTTTTTGGTATGTAATTATTATATTTAAAGGTTACTAATTAAATAAGATTAATTAGTATTTATCTATAATATACAGGGTCCGGCAATAGTACGGCGAGCATCTGTAGCTCCTAGAATAAAAAACTTGGGCATTTTGTTTAAGTGCAAACCTAGAGTATGTACTAGAATGAATTTGAGGAAAATATTTTAATTTCTATAGGCTCAAAAAAGTGTCATAAATCGGGATGACTTTTTTTAAATGGGACACCCTGTATTTTATTGCATTTTTAGATTCTTATCGGATCACTTTTCGTAATGCTAAGATATGTGTAACTATGTTTCGATAGTTTTAGAGATAAAAAAAAATTAAAAAATTATATCTTTCAGCGTTTCTTAACAAAAATTATTAAAAGTATAAGAACTATCCTGAAATCAAAACTGTGTTAGGTATTTGCTTTAGATGGTCTGTACTTACTTTGCTATAAATATGGTAATCGTAAATCATACAAGATGTTCAAAATTCTACGCCAAACTTTCTAAAATATAAAATAATTTTTCTTTGTTTTTTTTAAATAGAGCACCCTGTATATTATTTTTTCAATAGATGGAGAATTAAAAAATGATTTTTTTTTGTATTTAAAGTATTTCAAAATTTTTAACGGTTTTGCAGATATTCGCGGTTATCAATTCAATGTTATATTTCATATTATGACATTTGCAACAGTAAATTTTTATCAAAGCCACCCAATGATGTTTCTCTAGTATTTTACCGTGGAAAGAGCCATAGGAAATAATACTGCATGTATCTGCAAAACCATTAAAAATTTTGAAAAATTTTAAATGCAAAAAGTGTTTATTTTAACTCTTCATTTATTGAAAAAATAATATACAGGGTGTTCAATTGAATAAACTAAAAATAATTTTATATTTTAGAAAGTTTGGCATAGAATTTTGAACACCCCGTATGATTTAAGATTATGAAATTTCTAGCAAAGTAAGTATAGACCATCTAAAGTAAATACCTAATATAGTTTTGATTTCAGGACAATTCATGTATCTGTAATAATATTTTTAAGGAAGGTTAAAGAAAATATATTTTTTATTTATTTATTAATATCTCTGAAACTATTGAAATATACATAATTCTAAGATATGACTGAATTATGTAAAGTGATCTGAAAAGAAGCCAAAAATGCATGTTCCCTTTAAAAAAATCATTCCGATCCACTCGTCACACTTTTTTAACCACCCTGTAGAAATTTAAATATCTTCCCGAAATCCATCCTAGTACATACTTTAGGTCTGCACTTAAACAAAATTCCCAAGTTTGGTATTCTAGAAGCTACAGATGCACTCTTGCCGGACCCTGTATTTATACTTTAAGTAAAATGATAATCATAAATTAACATATTATGTTATTTTAAATAATTTTGAATCAACACTTAACTAAATAAAATACTAAATATTTATATATTTTCTCTTTTCATTAGATAGCTTATGTGCAAAATATGTCAAAATTTTATTTCTTTAGCAGTTTTTTGTGCTCTGAAAACCGTTCTACACCCTAATCAAATGACAATTTTGGATGTAAATGAACATAACATGCCAACGACTTTGTGTATTAAACCAGCTACAGACATATTGACAAATCATTAACAGCCCCACACGAGAGCATCGGAGTTTTAATCTTTGAGTCGTGCTTCCACATCTGTGACACAAACAGTATGAAATTAGTCATAAATTAGTTGAACGTGACGAATAATTTGCATGCCAGACAAGAGAATAATAAAATAATTTGGTAAAGGAGTGGAGAAAGATAATGGTATAAAAAAGGGCAAAATAAATAAAGTAAATTTAATTTAACAAGTTCAGAAATTCCGCTAGAATATATATTTTTTCTTTTCAGTTGGCTTGTTCTTCAATTCTATATATTTTACTTTTTATGAAACTTTTTTAGGTTTTTGAAATAAATTTTAATTTAATGTCAATAATGAATATTTGGATAGCAAGAGATAATTTAATTTTTTTCAGATTGATACTTTTTTGTAAATCAATTTTACTTTGTGTAAAAAAAAATCTTTTAATAAGATTTTGAATAATATAATCAATATTTTACATGGTTTTTGTAGGTTTAGTTCTAATTTGCGACCAAATCAAACGCAAACATCCATTAATGGATAAGCAGAGAAAGAAGAAGAAGAAGTTCTAATTTGACCTACGGCAATGTTCATATGAGTTTCTCAGTGAGATAGTTAAATGCGGGTCCGATTCGAATCGGACCCATACCGTTCTTGAGGTTGGCTATATGAGATCCGCCATCTTGAATTCTGCCAATCCGTTGTCAGATTCGCGATCAATAAACCATTTGACTTCAGATTCGCGATCAGCGACCCAAAAAACTTCCATTTACTGATTTTGTTCGGATCCGTGCATTTTTTGAAATTCGCATCGGCCATATTGGATCCGCCATTTTGAATTCTGCCAATCCGACATCAGATTCTTGATCACCGACCCAAAAAAATCTCTATACCGATTTTGGTTAAGATTCGTGCGATTTTCGAAAATCATGACTTATGGGAGAGATTTTGAGATTAGAAAAAGAATGAGACAGCTCAATTCTGCTAGCTCAATTCTGATAGGTGGTTTGAGTTTATAAGGTATGGTGTTATACATGAGAATTTTTTTATTTTTATTTTTTCCTATTACATTTTCCTGAATTTTACAGATTTTCACCAAGTTTTTGGTTAAAAAAAATTGTTGAAAAGGTTAGAAAAAAATGATATGTGATAGCGTAATTCTGATAGCGGATTGGTGCTCAGCGTCGAAAAATACTATCATAGTCTAAAAAGCATAGACAACATTTTTTTTGTGCGTTGCAGTGTTATCATCCGTCAAGAGAAATAATTGTGGTTAGTTTGTTGTTTTAGGAGCTACTTATTTGTCTTTCTCTATGGATACAACTGAATACCATGGTACAAAGAAAACAAGGTACGATTGCGCAGGTTAGTCGCTACGTCACAGGTGATAACAGGCCCTATTGATTAGCACGCCCCGCGCGCCAATTCAAATCATCAAGAAATTATACTGAACCTGTTTTTTTGTTTATATACCGTCATTGAACTATCGCTAAGCAAGTTACTGTGGAGCAGTGCGTGAAGGGTCAGGCTAGGAAGCGACAGACTGGAGTTCGAATCTCGGCCGGGGCAAAACTTTTTTATTTAATTTTTTAAATACTGTTGTATTGTGTGTTGTATTCTATAGTTTATTTTTGTAGTCTAAAAAAAAAGAACTATTTATTCTGTTATTTTTTAATCTCCGGTATTAATATAAATTGATTGTTGGTACAATACCTCATTTAATAAAAATAATATTCTACTTTTTGAAATGTATCGGGCCCTAATTGTCCCTAAAAGTAATATATTTTTACAGTGATATACCATATTGTAAACTATTTAATATTTCAGTCACATAAACAGTTATTCGTATTGAATAATTGCCTACCATTAAAGGAAATTTGAGCTATACTCCTTGATGGGCATATTCTGAGTATGCAAATACATCCTCTAAATTTTGGGTTTCGTAGTTTCGTTCAACCGATTTATTCTTTAATTTCTACTTTTCGATGGGAAACAAACTTCCCAACATTCTTTAAATGATGCTACAATTCCTCTTGTGGTTACTTTTCCATAGATATCCTCATCTCTGTCTTCATGTCAATTCAGAGACGATGAACATGAAAATTATTTACCATAAACATCGCAAACTAAAAACCTAATACAAAATTTTAAATTTAGTATTTTTACCTATTATCATCCAAATCCATGTTAATAGATAATTAATATTTTGGATTTTTATCTTTTATTTTTAAATATAGGTATTTTTGGAACTGGCTGGTTTTAGTAATTATTAAATTAAACGAAAACAATTCTTAACCATAAGCCTAGAAAATACAAAAAATGCAAAATGCAGATCTCCTGTCAACTTTCTTTATTTTTTATTTATTCCTTATTTTCCTAGTGACGTCACAGGTGGTATGCGCGAACTGAACGAAATTGGAGCCGCTGTCGATCATACCTTGTTTTCTTTGTACCATGACTGAATACTGCAAGCATATACTAGAAACAGGATATTCTATTAATTTTGATTGTGTTTTATAGGTATGATCGTAGTTAGGCAATGATCGTAAATTTTTTAGTATAAAGCTTAATTCACAACCTCGCAATTAGCGGAATAAATTAGTGGTTTCAATTACACTTAATTGTGTTTTTAGACATTGTGAATGATCGTAAACTAAAAAGTAAAATTAATAGCATATCCTAGCAACAGCTTGCAGTAGTCAGTTGTATCCAAAGCGAATGCCTAATATTTCGCTACAACCAAACCAAATCAACTTGTGCTTTCTAACCACAATTTCTCTAGACGGATGATATTGAATGGCTAAAATTACATTCCTCGCAAATTTTGAATCACAATTAGAGTTAAATGTTTGTTAACTTTTTCTAATTGAAAATGACTACCGCTAATTTTGACGTTCTGAATAC